AGAGACATTGGAAAAAGAGCAGCAGCACTTAGAGGATGTTAGCCCTTCCAGAGCAGATTCAGAGCTCCTGATGAGAGCAGACTTTCATAAACTGCTTTCCAGTTTTGCAGCTGTACAGTCAGGATGGTTCTTTTGTTCCCAGCACTTCTGAAGTTGCTAAAAAAAATGCCAGTTATTGAAAGTCTCTTTTTTCTCCCCTTTTGCCAAGACTGACTCTTGTAAGTAATGCTGAGCCTCTGCACAGTGCTCTGTCAGGAATGAAGCTGCAGCTTAACATGAAATGGAGACCCACAGCATACACCTTTGTGGGGAAGACAGCTGGAGAGATAGAAGAGCAATTTTTATTTTCTTCAAAAGTTTTTTTAGAGCAGTCTGTCATCCCTAATTTTCCCTTCTATATATTGCTTTCTTCTATGTGCAGACTACGCATAGATTTGAGTGGAGAACCACCAACTCCATGAGCCCAAAGTGTTTTGGAACGCATTGTAGCATGAAAGTCAGGTTGCTCAGTTCTCAATGCCCAACACAAAGTAATGCTTCCTGACCTGCTGTTTCAGGAAAGGATAGTTCTATTTTAAATCTTTCAGTACATGATTATGACTCACTGGGTCATCTGTGTTTTGAACACAGCAGATTCTGTTGTGTGGGTACATATGTATGTGGTGTATATATCAGTGAGAAAGAGTTAGGGTTGACTAACTGCTTCCACTTTTTATTTCTATAAACTAGAGATCTTTATAGTTGTTTAACGTGATGCTAAGAATGCAGTAAATACGGGATGGTGGGATTAGGAGCTTTCTACACAACCCATTGGAGAAGTAACAAAGAGTTTTTGCACAACTGTATGCTTAATGCAGAATGCAAGTCTCCTAGCTGAACCGCAAAGACAAAACTGACTAAGAATGACCAAAGGAATGATAAAATTTCTTTAGCCAGCCAGGTGAAACACTCAAGTCTTTGATCTTGGTCTGTGGTAAAAATGCTGCTCTGATTCAATTGTCGCTTAAATGGGTAAAAGTCAAAAATAGCTCATGGAAATCTTATGTCTGTACTTTGCCTTCTGGTAAGTCTCATGGGCTTGACAGTGATGTGCTCTAATTTAAAGTGTCATTGGCTATTTATTCAGAACGAGTTTTACAAGAGTACTCTGGAGCACTTCTCTATTTGAATGGAAAAAGTAGGTTAAAAGAAAGGTAATTTACAAGGAAAAGCCAAGGCAAGAACACTCAGCATGAGGGCATGGTTAGACACATGGCAATGCTTAATCCTTACTGTTCCTAATCCTTCAGGCCAGGCTTGCAACACTGGGAGCTTTCTGTTCTTGCTCCTGGACCTACATACTGACTGTTTAGAGGACAGAGCAGTGCCAATCTCCTCATTTTGTGTTAGCTTAATAGGAGCAGTGTAAAGGACAAGATGCAGCATATGTTAAAAGTATATGCCTGTGGGCTACATATGTCATGCAGCTGGAAGGCTGCTGTCTTATAAAAGTAGTAAGTAATATGGCCAAGAGACAGCCATTACGATCGGGCATATGGGCAGTGAAGTGAATAATGCTGCCAGGAGGAATGCCTACAGTGCAGCAGTTGGGAAATACAGATTAAAAAGTCCTAAAGTGGCTGCTTCCCCCTGACGAGTCATTTCTGCTGAAGCAGGCATCTTTCCAGGCTGATAGTGTCTAAATGCACTTTCAGGCTTGTGCATTTTGGATGTGTTTAGCTGAAACTGGTTTGTTCTTCCTATCTATATCTGCAATGCCTCCTATCATACCCATCACTTCAGCTTATCATCACCCTCCTGGGATTCTTCAGTTCCTCAACAGATCTGGCTGGAAACCTCCCCTCATGCATCATTTCCTGAAGAATTCAATCAGCTTAGCAGGAAAGGCTGAAAGCCAAAAGCTACAAATAAGCTAAGCTTTATTTTGGTAAAGGGAACACTAAATGTATCTGCTGCTTTGCTTCTTTTTGCTTCCTTTTATTTTTTCCCTCCTCTTCCTTATTGTATGTGAAAGGTGAGGATGAAATCTGCCTCTGTCAGACACTGGATGCTGTTAAAAATAGACATGTCTCTAATAAGATGTTTTGGTGTGTGTGTGATAAGGGGTTTTTATATTATAGTTCAGAATATACTCATGTCAAATTGCTGGCAATCTGATCAAAGCTATCACTTTGCAATCTTTTGCTGTGCTATTTTTCTTTTTTTTTTTTTTTTTACTGGTATAGTAGTACCAGCGACATAAAAATAAAGCAAGTTGTTATGCAAGGGTTAACAATGAATATATGATCTCTTTATTTCATTTAGCCAGTATTAGAGCTTTCTCACAGTAATATTTGATCACTGTGAGAAAAATCATATCAATAATATTTAAGATAAAATGGAAAAAAAAGAACTTAATAACGTTCTTTCTACAAAACTATGTGTGCTTCAAAACAGCCTTAGGATCCTGACTGCATCTCAGTCAGCACAGTCATATTCTTGATGCACAATATTGGTATTTATTAGTTATGTTGTTGGACTCAAGAGTACTGGTGCTAGTTCTGCCCACAGGCTGCTCAGCCCCTCACTACCAGAAGTCTATGTCGTGTATGTGGCCTTTTGAAGTCTCCAGTTAAGAGAAGTGTTACATCTACATGATATTCTTAGCTGTTGACAGCTACATGACATTTTCCTAATCAGAAGAGGTCAGTTCAGAATACGGCTGTTATTGCTGCTGTTACTCTTTTTTAAACTTCCTTATGGTGATTGCATCAAATGTCACTATTTGAGGAAGGTGAAGGAGCTGATGAAGTTAAACTCTGACATTGCTTTGTCATCATAAAAGGGTAAAGAGTAACTGCAAATGTTTTTCATAAAAAACAGATGGAAGACCTGAGTTTCTTCTCCCTGGTTTTGCTTGCATGGAGTAAATCCCGATTCATAGTTGCAGGCATGAGAGAAGGGCAAGAACCCCAGAGAAAATGTATACCAATACTTAAAAATTGAATAGTTGAGAGCTGGTTCCTCCTTGCAGAGACTTAAGGCTGGAAGTTAGTGACAAGTAGTGGTGAAAGCCACTCTTTCCCCGAGCAGCAACAATGCCCCGCTTTACTTTCTCTTTACTGACATTTACCTATTCAGGTTTGTTAAGTGTCTCTTCTGGAATCTGAATGACACTACAGCAGACAATTGCTATTATCTTCTACCCTGTGCAAAAAGCTTTTCCACTTCTACTCTTGAGGTTTCAGAGTGGAGCTTTTCTAAGCTCAGAGCACAGAGTTTTAAAGAAATGTATATATATTAGTGTGTATATCAATACAGACACACACAGATATACACATATAAACACAAACTCATCTTTTATTAATGTTCTTGTAGCTGTGAATGTTGATGATATAGGAAGATGTAATATGACCTTTTAAAAATAATTTATTAGTACATGGTAAAGTACAGGCTCCCATTTCAACTCAGTTGTTATTTGCTAATTAACAAAATCAAGTTTCGTAGACACAGATGGGAATTAGTGAGGTTTAACTGTATTTTGATGTTTGGTTGTTTAAAATTTTCCCTGACTAATCTCCGTATCAGATGTTCTTCAAGGTTAGCTTGTGTTAACGCAGCACCAAGAGCCACTGAGTCTGCTCACTGGTGCTGATGGTTCTAGACCCCCTGCACATCTTCAGTGTGTATCTGCTTTGGAGCACAGATACCTGCAATTGTGTGGCTTTTATTGATAGGTATATAAGAAGTGAGATGTGGTTTTAATGTGATTGGCTCAGTTTTATTTTGGGGTGTTTACCCCAAAATGTGTTGAAGGTTGATCTCAGATCTCAGCAGAGTTTATACAATGTGATAATACTGAAATGCAATATTGGACAGAAGTGAGAAGTATGCTTACTTGGAGATCCAGCTGTCAAATGTTCTGAAAGCTTCTCTGCCAGGTGTGGATACGACCGCTGGGAGCACAATAAAGAATCACAGAATCATAGAATCTAAGTTGGAAAAGACCTTGAAGGTCATCTAGTCCAACCATCAACCTAACACTGACATTTCCCAACTACACCAGATCCCTCAGCGCTATGTCAACACCTCCAGGGATGGGGACTTCACCACCTCCCTGGGCAGCCCATTCCAATGCCCAACAACCCGTTCTGTAAAGAAATGCTTCCTAATATCCAGTCTAAACCTTCTCTGGTGCAACTTGAGGCCATTCCCTCTTGTCCTATCCCTTGTTACTTGGTTAAAGAGACTCATCCCCAGCTCTCTGCACTCTCCTCTCAGGTAGCTGTAGAGGGCGATGAGGTCTCCCCTCAGCCTCCTCTTCTCCAGACTAAACACCCCCAGTTCCCTCAGCCGCTCCCCGTACGACCTGTGCTCCAGACCCTGCACCAGCTCCGTTGCCCTTCTCTGGACACGCTCGAGTCATTCAATGGCCTTTTTGTAGTGAGGGGCCCAAAACTGAACCCAGGAATCGAGGTGCGGCCTCACCAGTGCCGAGTACAGGGGTGAGATCCCTTCCCTGTCCCTGCTGGCCACCCTATTGCTGACACAAGCCAGGATGCCATTGGCCTCCTTGGCCACCTGGGCACACTGCTGGCTCCTGTTCAGTCGGCTGTCAATCACCCCCCCAGGTCCCTCTCTGACTGGCAGCTCTCCAGCCACTCCTCCCCAAGCCTGTAGCGCTGCTGGGGTTGTTGTGGCCCAAGGGCAGTCCTCAGCATTTGGCCTTATCAAAGCTCATACAGTTGGCCTTAGCCAACTCCAGCCTGTCCAGATCTACTAAAGAAGAAATGTTTGTGTTAGGAATTATGCTGTCTTTAGTTAGCATCTGTTTGTAACTACATCATGAACTAGAACTTGCTCAGTTGGTGCATGAGCTCAGGAGTGGATTGGCATTGCAGTAGTGAGTCTTTTTTTGAGGCCAAAACATTACAATGCACTTAGAGTTGCCCGTAGCTAAAGCCATTTTAAGATAGAGAGAATGAATGAGATTTACAGCAAAGGTCCTTTCTTCTTTGTAGATCACTGAAGGATGGAGAGTCTCACCTTGCCTGCCTGTGTGAACTTGGCTATTGATCTGCATAGCAGCGGGACCTGGGGTTCTTGCAAGGTAAGGGCTTTGAAGCTTTTTAAGCTGTTGAATGCAAGTGCATGTCCATAGACAAAGGGGTAATTGTATGCCTGATGGAATAGTCTCAAAGTGTCAAGAACTGTGATACATGACAGAGATGAAAGATAGGGCAGAGGGAAAATGGAGACAGGCCCATATAAGAGTGACAACAAAGTCTCTTTTGAGTAAGATCTCATGATGATATGAGGCTCTCAACAGGAATGGCATCACTTCAACCATTAGCTCTTCAGGAAAAGATTTCGATTTATATCTCAGCATTTGGCTCTGCTAATGGGACCTGCTTGTATGGAATAGCTGCTTCTGGAGAGCAGGATATGTTGTGCTGATATCGGTCTTCATGCCAGGCACAGCACATGAAGAAAACCAGTTTATGCTTGCAAACCAGAGTCACATTCTGGGTTACAAAGATAGGGGCACTGCTTACTAAAGAAAAATATAAAAATGAGGAAATGCAAAGTTTAAGTACATCTGGCACTTATCCCTTGATTTAGAGAATACCTTTAACATCTCTCAGCTTCAGAAACCTCAAGAAACCAATTCAGAAATTCTCCAAGATGGTATTTCTCAGTGGATTCCATCCACTTCTCACCATTATTTGGGACAGAAGAGTGTTCTCCTTTTTATTGTGTATCAAGGAAGCTTTAAAATCTCTCTCATTCAGAACAGTAAAAAATAAGTTGCCACCAAGGTAAAAATATTGTGGGCAGTTCTGTGGCCACTGGAGAATATAGAATCATAGAATGGTTTGGGTTGACACATTCTGCAAATATTGCAGTTGATAAGGAAGATTGACTCATGTTTTTCAGCCCCATCTATCAAGCTGTTACTTGTTACATAAAAGTGAAGACAGCACAGTTTAATATCTGTGTTTTTTAAGATAGGCTTGTCCTAAAAAGTCACAAGACACCGATTACAATTATTATTGGAAATCTTGTAGTTTGCACAAGAAAAGGCACAGGGTTTAAGTTTATACTAAAATGCAAGTATTCTGGGTCATCTTCTGAAGGATAACACTCTTAACTGTTTTATAATTAAAATCTCCTGTGCTTGGTGGAAGCAGAAAGAATAAACTGGTTACAGAGATCTTAGAAAAATAGCTTGCCTTCTGTGTAAACCATTAGCCGTGCCAGTATCATCTTTAAAACATAAATACACAGAAGCATTTGTAGATTTTATGCACTGCTTACACATCTTATGCTACAACTAATATGCCTTAGTTAGCTATTTAATGTTATGTGACCCCTTATTCTTTCATTTCAATGTCACTAGTGTCAGACTGCTAAAGATTAACTTGACAATTATTTTGAAAAACACATCCTGATTTCATTAACCTCTTGTAAGGACACGATGTTAAAATATGCCATTACTATTTCTAAGTGTAACACGGTGATGGACTTTATTGCTCTTAATGCTCTATTAGCAGGTACAATTCACTGTTTCTTACAGTAAATGAAATCATTATATATTTATTTGACTCTTGGGTCTAAGGTCCAGGTACTCTGATGTTTATTATAGAAGCTAAAAACCCATTTTTGTGGGCCCTTAGAACCTTAAGGTTTATGTTTAGGGATGTCCATCAGCCATTACTGCTGAAAATGCTAAAATTCGGACAGTAATTCCATATTCCCAATGAGACCAAAGCTGGGCAGTTCCTCATGTTTCTTGCTAATACTCAGGAGTGGTCTCCTTTTCCATAGTGTGTTTTCCTGAATAATTGGTCTTAGCCACCTAGTTTGGCCTCTTAATGATTTCAAGGGCTTTATGATTTAATAACAGAAATTAATAAAATAAGCTTAATACCAATTTCAGCCTAGGGCTTTCTTTTCCTCACTGTGCACCAGTAGCAAAGATGATTGCTTTTCTAGCAGTAATATTCTTCCTAGGCATCTTTTCTAGGGAGTGCTGTAGAGTTCATCACTGTGCTCTGAATTCCTCTTATTTGTCTAGGGACTTTGGGTTTTGTGGGGTTTTTTGTTTTGTTTTGTTTTTCTTTTACTTCATGCAAGACCTTAGCTCTAGGCTAAAGCCATATAAAAAAAGGGGGAAATTACAGGGGTCTTATCTCTCAAAGTAATTTTACTTTATTAATGTTTGGTGTTGATGGAATCCCAAGGAAATCCATTATTTGGTCAGTTGAGGGGAAGAAGGAAGCGGTAAAGAAGAGGCACCATCTGTCAAATGGAGAGTCTTTTAAAAAGCTTTAGACCAAACTTAAAGGAATAGCCAATGTAGACAAGAACAGTATTTCTCTGTAGGTGCAGTTCTTTGATCTTTTCTGAGATGTCCTCTATGACAGGAGTTGGTGAGAAACTAGTCTGCTGTTAGTTGTCAAAACTGAATCTGAACAATGAAATGGAGAGGGAAAATCTTTCATCATCTTGTTGCTCATCTACATTTCTTTCTTTTTCCTGTAACTCTTGTGGTCTAGCTGAGCTGGGGTCACCAGTGAAACTTCATTCCTTGGTCTGGAATTGGTCAATGGGAAGGTGTTGTCAATTGCATTGACTCTAAAAAGGACATCAGGGACAATTATCCAAGCAATGATCTCCCATAGTAAAGCCCTGGATGACAGAGATAACTTAAAGGTCACTCAGCTATGTACAGGCACCCGAGCTGGATGTGCTTATGGTTTCTGAGCCATATGGCACAGCAGTGTGCTGCACAGGTGTTTCCTCATTCTAGATATATCAGAAGTACAAAGAAGGCATAAAACTAGAGAGGCAAGTTATTTCTGTAGAGCGATGATGAAACTTCTGCAGAAATTCTGTATCTGCCTCTGGTAGACTTGTTTTTAGTCTATCAGGAGTACAGACCTTGAAAAATATAAAAACTCTTTTGTCTCTCTGTCCTGGGGAATATATGTGTCCAACTGACTCCTGAGTTCTTTATGTACAGAATTCCCTTACTTTCTATCTTCTTCAAAGTTTCCAGTTGAAGCATGACAAGAGACTGTGTCAAGGAGGATCTTGCTTTGAAATCGATAGATGAATCAGATTCCAATCACGCCGATAGCTCTGTAACAAACCTAAGTCTTTATCTTCTCTTGGCCTATTCCTCAAAGAGAAATGCCCTGAGTTAGAATAAATAACTTTTTGCTTAATCCAGAAGAATAATATGCAGATCTGTTTCTTTTCAGTGTAGTTTTGAGCCACATCTCAGGACTGGAACACCAGTTCCATTGCATGTATGCGCTAGAAACTAAGTGACTGCAGCACACAAACGATAGAATTTTTATGCATCTAATTCTGTGATTGTTCCTTTTATCTCTTAGTATTTAATAATGGGAAAGCTTTTTTTCTCTCATGCATATGCTGTAATGTTTGCAGGTGACTGTTGTGAAATAGAGTGAAACTTCCATTGGGAGTAGTACATTTGTGTGTGTTTGAATTCTGCTGGGAATATGGACGTTTCCTGGATGCCATTCTCCAGGTAAGAAATCAGGGCATTGCACCTGCTCTCTTTGTTTCCCCATTTCCCAAGGTATTTCTGTATGACACAGCATTGGGCAGAGTAACCCAGGTTGATCAGGAACCAGTTGCCGACCTCTGCTATGGGTATTGACTTTCGGAGAAGCTCACCAGTCTCTGTTAGCAACAATGATGGGTGTGGAAGCAGAGCATGCTGCCAGTTCTGAGCAGGTTGACAGATACTTCGATGACAAACAAAAAACTCAGAGTGTCATTTCACATACAAACCTTGCTTAGAAAACAATTCTCAGCATACTGAGCTCACAAAACACTCAAGATTGAGAAACTATAAATAAGAGCAGGTATTTGTGTACCTTCCACTCCCATTGCCAAGAAGGATTCAAGCTTTCTGGGGAACTCTCCAAATTGATCTAGAAACATTGCTGGGCAGGCAGAGAAGGTGAATGGTGTTGGCAGCCAGGCAGAGAGCCAGCTAGCTGTTCTCTTCCAGGCTTTCACGGCTGCAGAGAGCATAGTGTCTCCCTGTACCACTTAGTAAATTTGTGACATCACCAGCTGTTACCAGGGAAACACAGAAACTACAAATTTGGATCTTGGCAGCTAGGTGTAAAGAATAAGTATCTTGCTCTTTTGAGGGTCAAAATGGAAAGCTGAAACAAATTCCACAACAGCTTTGAACTGAAACCAAGTTGGGGTAGGTTAATAATTCCAAACCAAACAACCATAGCTGAAAAAGTGCCAGTGTGGCCCCCATTATGTCACTTATAGTAAACAAACATGGCACATCAAGTGCAGGACCTCTGACTTCATGAAGTTTAAACATATCCTTCAGACATAAGACCATTACTGTTGACTTACAACTTCAGTTCTCACCAGTGGATTCAACAAGTTGCTTTTAGAGATGTGGTATCCTCTGACCAGTGATTTTTAGAAAATGCTGATAATTCCTGCTTCTTGAGAAAGAGTTTGCTTGTATTTCACAGCAAAGAAAGCATGTAGTGTTGAATTTTGATAAAATTGTGTGCAAATACCATTACTGTTCTGATGAAATATGTGCTTTTTATAGCTTTCAAAAATCTGGGGTTTTTTGTGAGAACCGATGTGTTTAGACATGCATTTATGTCTTTTAAGTGCTTGAGATTTCTGAAGTTACAGAAATCATATTTTTGTCTTTTAGTAACATTTGCTGATGTTTTATTTATGTTTAAATTAAAACATTCCTTTTAAAATGGATTATTATTGAGCAGTTGGGACCCAGCTAATATTAACTCTTTCACAGGCCTTTTGATTTCATTCACATTGCATGAGATATATATGTTTGGTATGTACTTGAGTTGCCCACAAAAGCATGCATCTGCTGCAAAGGTAGAGGAGCAGGCTGGAGCGAAGACTCGAGCTGAACTCAGCTGCTTCGTCTCCATTCATACCTGCAAGGCTGTGTATGTGGCTGTACTTCCACCAGGAGATCTCATGTCAGAAAGGTAGAGGTTGTTATGCTCACCAGATGTTGGGGAGATCTGAGAGAACCTGTATAGAGTGTTAAAGACCTGTGGACTCACCCTATTTGGCTCTGTCTCCACTAAGGAGCAAAATTACGTAGAAAAAAATCCCCATGTTGGTAATCTGGTGTCAAATATATCCATGATGGAGGTTCTTATGTGGACATTGAGCAGCATTTCTAGCACTGTTCCATAACTGTCTTAAACAGCACTGGAACGGGTTTAGTCTGATTTCTGTCCTCCATATGAAAAAAATCCACAAGACCTGCTTGCCAAACAGTCAGTCTGTCTTTCCTCTGTTTTGTTGGTGGCCTTTGGATCTTGAGATTTCTATGCCACAAGAGCAGTTTGCGTAGTCTGGATCTTGTCATTTGGAACATGGTTCAGTGTTCCCTGTTGTGCCCTGTTTCAGATGGATGATGACCAAGGAAACTGCTGAGCCATGGATGGATTGCAGGGATATGTCACGAGAAAGACATCTGGAGTCATCTGCCCACATGCTGTGACGCTGGCTCACATTTCTAAAGCAGAACTGCAGACAGAGGAGATCATGAGTGCTCCAAAGAACTTAGCTATCTATGCAAGTTCCATTTTTTTATCATTGTAGTGAGTCATTTTGAAAGGCTCCTTTTTTGGTTCTCTTTACTTAGGCTGCTGGTTCCTCTTGCTTGTATGCCCAGTGACAGTCCTGAGACTTGTGACTGGGACTGCAAAAGCCATTGGGGCTGTTGCCATGGTTTTTCTCTTCAGAATGGTGGAAATGTCATCCTTCCTCACTTCTCTTTTTTAAGGGTATGAAAGATGCTTCTGAAGAGGAAGGAATTTACTTCTTGGGAATAATCACATACAACCAGGATGAGTCCCATGTGCAGACTTTCAGGCTGGAGGTATGCTCTGGAATTCTCATGGGGAGGGGAACATTTTGGTTTGTGTGGTAAATTCATGGTGTTTGCAATCTCTGTCATGGTTTTAGAAATAGGTGCACTCCTGTGACCTTCATGTCCATCCCAAGTACATTCTCCACATGCTGGCTCCTCTGGAGCTACTCTTAAGTACCCGTGAGTAGTGGCCTTGTGTGAACCCCACACAGGCCTTTAGGAAAATAAATCAATATGACAAGCATGCATTAATCAGACCAATATGTGGTATTTATTTTTTCATATACACTGGCACTTATAATAGTAAATTACTACAGGGCATCTTCACATTTCTACTGATGCTCTTCCTATATGTGATGGAACAGGAGGGACAGTTTAATAGGTCATACAGGGACAGAAGGACAAGGAGCTGCTATATGATGCTCTCTTCAGCATAAACATATTGACTTTTCACTCAAAGGGGAGTGAACTTATTGAAGAGTATCCTCAGACAATAAACTAATTGTTATGTTTTCATCCTCCTTTTTCTCAGGAGGCAAATGCAAAGAATTTTCCATACCTAAACCTGAGAGTCATTCATACTACATATGTATTTATCAAATTCAAGTGGATGGGAAGGCTGTCCCCTGAAGAACACAGTTGTGAAGGGCCATAAAATAGATCATTACATCTAGTAACTGCATTGATGTGAACTGGTAACAGCAACGGACACAGTGCAATTCCCTCCATTCCTTCTGGATTACACTGTGATTGGAGAGATGATAAAGAAAACTTCTGCTATGCAGAGTGTGATTATGATATCTGAAAGCCCCTCTGAAGATAACAATTTTGTTCTCTCTCTTTTACCTTCTGGTGTATGTTGAATCTTGGTTGCTGACTGAAGTGGTAACACAGATAATCAAGTTTTCAAAGATTCATAAATCTAATAACACTAAGAGAAGCTGAGATGTATTCTCTACTGAGTAGTGAATCATTAATTGAACTGGTGTCATGTTTTCCCTGTAAAAAAGCTAAATCTGCAGTAGGGCTGAGAAAAGATCTGATTTGACTTTCAGTCTCCAGTGGGCTGACCATTACGAAGGAATCCTACTTGCTGCCTGCATTAGGAAAAAAAGGGACACTGTGAAGAGACACTTTTCAAAGCAGCACCTCATTTTCAGACCTGTGTTGAGGGGTCTGGTGGCCTGCAGCTAGGAATACTTAGTGGTATCATTCAGAAAGGGGATGCGCTGGCTGTGAACTGACATGGGCCAGTTTTGAGTTGCTATGCTCCTCAAAAGGGACTTTGCCAAAAAAGGAGAAGAATTCATCACCTATTAGAACATATTCTGGCTGCACTATACAAGCAATTTACTAGAGTCTATATATGAGTACTGGCAGTCTTTGAAACAGAAGAAGTAGGGTTTCTTTGTGTGCACTGAAGAATTTTTGCTGTTGACTTCACTGGAGCTATGATTCTTCACCAGATCCGTATCCTGAAGGCCTAAAGTGCCCTTAAAAGGGCTACTGCAAATTTATAAACCCTAATCACAGTCCCCAGTTGGCATGACAACCAGCACCACTCCTGCTTAGGATCTAGCCCTGCAAACCTGTAACCCTCTGTCTATACCACACTCAGTACTCACTCATGAGATTCCTTTGTCCCTACCTTTTTTACTGGAACTTTTATGACAATAAAGAGCATCTTTTTTTAAAAAAGTGTTTGATGGCAAATTATATTCCTGGGTACTTAATGTTTCAATGTTTGGGCTGCAAACACTCTGAGACATGCTGATTTGTTTAATAGCTACAGTTCTTGCTGGAAAGTTTTAAAATTGTGTAAACATTCCTACTAGTTTTATGGGTTTCTAAACTCTTTTTTTTATGTGGGTACAAATTCAAGTTGACAGTGTACTTTCCAAGCTTCCATTAAATAGGGCCGACTTGCTATTGGTAGAGGAATATCTCTGAAATAGCTTTCTGATGTCTTGCAATGGAAGACTTTTCATTAACTCCGATTAGAAATAACCTACCATGTATAAGTCTTTTATCAGTTCTTACTGTGCCCTAATGTCTGTGGGACTCCTGCTGGTAGAAGGAGGAAGAGAAGAAAGTGAAAAAGTCCAAGGATAATTTAATGGAGAAAGGAAGGTATTTTCACTGCACATTGTGTTTGCCAGTTACTGTTACCATAAAGCCATCAAAGATTTTAATGCTTTGAAACTTCTCACTTACAGGTTGCAGTATGTTGGTGCTTTCCTCACATAACTATGTTTTACCTCTCTTCAAGTGTGTCAGTGCTGCTTTAAAAGATCAGTATAGAAAACTGCAATTACACCATCTGGTTTCAGTTTTCCTTAATTCGGTGTCAGCCAGGCTCCTACAATCCAGATGATTAAAAGGGACAGAGCTAAACCTGCTGCATTTTTGGGATTTAAGCCTACCTTTTCCCCCTGTAAATTTTGACCTTTTCAAAATGAGCTCCCCCCTCCCGCAAACATGGAACATAAAGCAAATGTTTGCTACTTTTATCAGTGGAGCCAAATTCCGTGCATTCTGGCTGCTTTGCACTGACAGAAAAATTATTCCAAAATAATTCGAGCTTGTAAATGACACTGTATGTCACTGTAATAATAACAGCTAACTTGGCCTTTTGCGAAGTATGTATTTTCTGAAGAAATATCAATCTAATAGGCAAACCCTGATTATGCTGACCTTGGGAAAATGTAGCCTAAAGAAAGTAGTGGATGTTTGTGACTGTTTTGAAATCTCCTGACTGGAGTAGTTTCCCACTGTGCTTTTATTACACCCAGTGGTGGGGTTCTCTCACTTGCCCTGTCTTCGGCCTGGGTCCTGATGGCTCTGAAGAGGGAGCAGCAGCAGCTTCAGTCCCCTCTGCTGAGGAGCTCCCTGGGGAAGGAAAATGTGCTGCGCATAAAAAAAATGGGTGTAACCACTGTTTGACTGTCTGCCAGATTATAAGACTAGACAGAGTTGCGCTGGGTACCAGTATAGGCCATGTATAGTTGTTTCCTCTGTTCCCAGTAGCATGACTGAGCCTTGGGAACAGTGACTTAGTGGGATTGTTGGGAGGCTTGATGAGCTGCTGTATTCTTGTCTAGTTTCCCTTGTCAAGGTTGACTCAGATTATCACTGAACTTTCTAATTTTTATGCACACACAATTTTTAAATCCATACAGAGGACACTTTTCATGCTGAAAATGCAGTTACACACTTCTCAGGCTTTGCAGATGGTTGAGCACCAGTGAAGGAAATTCATTTGGTAACTGAGCTGGGAAAGTGCTTGGAAATCCAGTTTCTAATGCTTTCTTGTAGATATTCCCATTGGACCATGCAAAGAACTCTTCTGATCTATTTTACTGAAGAAACAGGAGAAAATAAAATTCTAAAAAAGTCTTTTAAAATGAAAACCTTTGAGAGCTTAATTAAATGCACTGTGAGAAAAACGTGCCGTTCCCTTTCAGCTATTGACTTGAGGTTTATATATTATTGCCAAGTCCTGGTATGAATAAAGTTTTAATATTGAAATCAGGAACAATTGTTTTGTGCATTTTTTATGTTGAAGCAATGAGAAAATATATACTTAGATTCCACATATACACTAAAAAGGAAGTTTTGGGATTGCAAGTAATGAAGCTGACTTAAGAGCCGTCCTCTTGAGAGAAATTTTTCAATCAGTCCCTTGAAAATGCAGGAATTTTCAAGTATTGTGTGGGATGAACATGAAGAATGGCATCTTGTTAAATCTACCTTTTGGTTGAAATCCCGAAACACCTAGTTGGGGTGTGGTGGTTTCAGCCTCCCTCACGCCGGATGCTGCCTTTCTGTTCTGCAGAAGTAGCCTTGCTGCTGGATTCTGCAGGAGGCATACTACAGCTGCCTTAGCAGAGCTTAGGTTCATCATAATGTGCGTCTTTCCTCTTAATAGTGACTGGAGCTTTGGTTCATCATAATGTGCGTCTTTCCTCTTTATAGTAACTGTAGCACGTCTGCTCGTCCACTCATTTTCATCTGTTCATTTTCCCCTGCGTTTCCTAAGCGCTCGTTCTGAGGAGGAAGCCCCCCTCTACTTCCACTGGTCGCTTGCACATCCTTCGCGGCGTGCTTTCCCGGGGTGTCTCCAGGTGTTCATCCCCGTTCCCAGGGGACCCGTTCCGTCCTAGCATGGGGGGTTGCGCGTCCTGCCGGGGCCGGGCGCGGCCGCTTGCCCTGTCTCTTATACA